TGAGCTATTAGTTAAGTTCTCCCCAAGCGAGCTCGATGGGCCGAATGGCCTCCTCTCGTTTGTATAGTTCTTATGTTCTTATGTTCTTATGTTCTTATGGGCGACGTGTCCCCCTCACATTTCATAATTATTCGTTTGCCCCCCCCCCACATTTAACATAAAATATTAGTTTAATGCCTAATGTGTCCCCCCACATTCAAAATGCTTCTGATGCCCCTGGCTGATTCCTTATCTGGACTGACTGGCTTAACGAAATCAGGGGAAAAAAGCTTCCAAAGAGTACCTGGTACAGGTGGAAATGAAAGCAAATAAATGGTACAGCAACGAGCTGAAGAATGGGAGCATAACACTGAAGGGCGTATCTTCCACAAACGTCTCCAAGGCGGTGCAAGTGTGTCACGTGAAGAGATCCCACCATGCTAAAAATCTGTATTAGAATATATATAATAAAACAGATAAACATTAGCAGAGAGCTGAAACTGCAGGAGAGGGGCTAAAGTTTACAGCTCATGAGAATATAAACAGTTCATGAGCTTCACCCTGTATGCAGAAAGGTAATGAATTTATGGCTTAAACTCCAGCTGAAGATAAACAAGAAACCCAAAACAACCCTGACAAGAATATGTGTGCATAATGTAGTCTCAAACCGAAATTCACAGAACCAAAAAAAGTGAATTTTATGTGGAAAATCCGACCTTGTGCTAATTGTCACAAAGTCCAGAAGCAAAAACTAAAGGAATAAAGGTTAAGTAGCATCAGGCAGCAGAAATGCAGAAGCAGAATTTGAGCTGCCTGAACAGGATTTTCAGATGTTATCAGACCGTCAGCATTTCTTTATAACATGGCGCAAATGAATTTACAGGAAACACATGATCAGTGTTGGTTACTGTCTTCTAGTTTATATATAGATATCTCACATCTTCACTGTTCACCTTATAAGTGCACAGTCCGTCAATCTGCACTCATCCCTAACTTACAAGAAACACAAATCCGGCCAGGAGGAACAACAGGTAAGGCTATCACTGTATTTCCATTTTTGGCATTTTAAACCTGGCCCTCTGCAATGTTTGTCAAATAATATGGTTATATGGTTAATATCAGGCACGTGCGGGGTGGTGGGGGGTGCAGGTTCCAGAGCACCTGCCCCTTTTACCCGAACCACCGAAGTACCCCCTTTCGATGTGCCCCCTTTCACGTGCTTCCCCTCTGAGCATGGTGGAGGGGGGTAGGCCAAGGGCACAGGGCTGCACTTCTCAAACTTTTTGGTCAAAGGTTCGCATCAGTTTTTGTGTTCAAAAAAGGAACAATTTTCAGTAATTTTAAGTAACAAATGTTATGTAACAGCATTTTATCATCTTTAATGAATTAACAATAACTTTCGATATATTGACATCAATATATAGCAATAATGTTACACTAGTGGCCAAAATTGTGGAAACACCAAGCATTTATGATTCTTATAATCAATCAAAGAATCTTTACAAATATCATACACTGGACGATTAATTAAATAAGTAACGGGGAGTAACTGGAATAAAGTTCTGCAATCTCTAAAAAATGTTTTGTGTCTGTGTTATGTGTGTGTGTTATGTGCATGTGTGTTATGTGTGTGTGTGTGTGTGTGTGTGTGTGTGTGCCAGGGGCGCCGCTAGAGATTTTGGGCCCCATGAAAGCATATCATATTAGGCCCCCCAGTCCAAACCAATCCAGTTATTTTCCTAATTTTTTAGGGCCCCTGTCACTCAGGGGCCCTTGGAATCGTCCTAGCTTTCCTCCCCCTTACGGCGCCCCTGGTGTGTGCTATATGTGTGTGTGTGTGTGTGTGTGTGTCTGTGTGTGTTATTTGTGTGCGAAGTTGTTGGCTCTGTCTTGCATTTTCTGCGCCTTTTGACATTAATCATATTGTTTGGTAAGGCGCATTATCTCCTGGGTCCGAGTTGTTCACTTGCGCTTCGGTCCGCAGCCTGCTTTATAGGGTGTGGAGTCGTCGGACAGAGTGAGATTATAATGGAGGCACAACTATTACCTGTTGTTTAAAAATAAACCCTATCAAACAAAATTAAACAATAATAAAACCAAACGTTTACATGAATATGCCTTGACCTTAACGATGTCGTTTCTGCCGATGAAAAATCATGCACTATACCAGTGGTTCCCAACCTTTTTTAACTCACGGCCCACACAGCCAAACACATATGTTTCCGCGGCCCACTGCAAAAGAATTTAAACGATCCCGCTTTTTGTGTCGGGTTAACTAAGTACTCGGAAGCAAGGCTGTTAATTGTCTTTATTGAATAAACTGGTAATTTATTTAATTATATATCACATTATGATTTATTTGATTTTGACTAG